ATTTTAGCCATAGTGATGTATATATCTCCAGTTCACTCACTTTAACTCTCCTGTATTCTGTGTATAATATGACATATATGTAGTCATTATTATATGAGGTAAATACTAATAATACCTCTTTTTTAGAAGAGGAAACTGAAAACAGAGATTAAGCAGTTTGTCCAAATCATATAGTTAGTAAGGATGATTCAGTTTAAGTTCACAAATTTTTGCTTATTCCATTCCAATTCATTTAGTTAATAGCTTTTCCTGTTTAATGCCTTGGTTGGGATTTATAATGTGACACAGCAAGTGTGAGAATGGGTATCCTTATGTTACTCTTGACTTTACTTGGGGTGTTTCTAAAAAATTTTAACATTAAATATGTTTGCTGTAGGTTTTTAGTAAACATCTTAGAAGGAAGGAGGTTGCCTTTTATTTATAGTTTGCCAAAAAACCTCTTTCTTTCTTATAATGAAGTATTACATGTATGTGTACTTCTTTTCTGTGAAAAAAATCATGATTTTTTTCTTTATAGATTGTAGATTGGTTTTGCTTTCAAATCATTCTCAGTATTCTGGAATAAACCCTCCTAGGTCATTTTGTGTGATTATTGAATTGTTGGGGGGGTTTATGATTTTTGAATTTTATTTGCTGAAGTTACCTTTAGGATTTTATATGTAGGTTGTAAGGTGAAATTGGTCTACGATTTGTTTTAATTATTCTGTGATTATTCAGCTTTGGCTTAAAGTTTATAAATTCATGAAAGTAGTTTTCCCTCCTTTTCTGTTTCATGAAGTAATTTATGTGTTAAAGGGACTGCTTCACCTTATGTATTTGATAAAGTTATATTATGAACCATCTGAGTCTAACACTTTCGTTGTAAGATTTGCCTGATAATTCAATTTGTGACAGTGTCAATGGTTTAAATTTTCTGCCTTGAGTGAAAATTACCACCTAATCCAAGTTTTCAAATTCATTGTTATTAAATAGTTCATATTATTGACTTGTTACTTTTCAAAGTGTCTACCATAACTGTAGTTTTGATCACCTTTTCAATTCTTAAAAAGAAAAAACACACAAGAATTATAGGGTGGATCTCAAAAGAACAAATCAATTCATGGTTATTTGATAAAACTAATAAAATAGACATTGCTCATCTAGATCAAGAAAAGAAATAAGAACTGGGTTGTTTGTTTTTCGGGTGTGTAGCTTGGTGAGTTCCTTATATATTCTGGATATTAGCCCTTTATCTGATATGTCATTTGTCAAGAAGATGTGGTTTATCTATACCATGGAATACTACATGGCAATGAGAAACAATGAAATCTGGCCATGTGTAGCAACATGGATGGACCTTGAGGGTGTTATGCTGAGCGAAATAAGTCAGGAAGAGAAGGACAAATATCATATGTTTGCACGTATAGGAGGCTTAGGAGGAACTTGACGGAGGAACAAGGGGGAGAAGAAAGGCGGAAATGGTGGGGGAAAAGGAGAGAGGCAAACCATGAGAGACTCTTGAATGCTGACAAAAACTGAGGACTGATGGATATGGGGGGGAGGGGGGATGGGCATGGAGGAGGGCACTTTGGGGATGAGCACTGAGTGTTATGTGGAAACTAATTTGACAATAAACTATTTGTTAAAAAAAAAAAAAAAAGAAAAGAAAAGAAATAAGAAAACAAAAATAATATCAGCTGCCCCTTAAGGTCTATGAAATCTAAAATGGAAGCGGAAGATATGAAATGGAGAATCTCACACATAGTTCCTGAGAAGAACAGAACTTGAGAACTGAGAGTCTGACTCCCTGTGAATGTCCCATTTACAGAGGACTGAGACTCACTCTCCTAACCAATGAGTATCTGTCAAGAATATTTCACCATCCTCCAGCCAGTGTACTTACTGCTTAGACTCGGGCTGGACTGTTTTCTCTGCACACCCCTCCCTGTTGATACAGCTCGCCCTAAGCCCTCAACAAACTCACCTGCAGCATGCATTTTCTGAATTGCAGTCCCTCTGCTATTCCTGAATGAACTCAGCTTCTGGTAATTCAAGCTTGCCTCAGTCTGCTTCTTTAGGTTAACAGGTTTTTTCCAATTCTAAAATTACCTGGTTCTGTGATTATGGATTATCAGGTAATTACCAAATCACTTTGCCTGTCCACCTCTTCTTTGTCGTCCCACATGGTCACTGTCTCTTCATCAGAACATATCCAGGGATGGAGGTAGGTCTCTATGCCTTATTGACCCTATACATCCATTAGCTTGTCTGGTTACAGAAGAAAGAACAGCTAAATTGATTCACTGTAATGTAGACATTGCTCACACAGGGTAGTGTTGTAATGTGCTCTTAACAAATACCTACAATGTAATGGAGACTTTACAAGGTAATAGAGATTTGGAGGTGAAAAAAGATACACACCCCACCCTCAAAAGCAATTTACACAATTACAATAATGAAAGGTAGTATGAAAGAGAAGTATAGGCTACCTTAACTAGGGACTAATGGAGTCTTTGAGGGTTAGAAGTGAATGTGGTAACAGAGAATCAGAAGTAGAGTAGGGAGGGCAGGAAGTAGTATATGGAGGAAGTAGCTTAGTGTGTTCAAGAAACCAAATAAGCCAGGCTGGTGTGAGAGCCTGGAGAATAACAGAAAGAACTAGAACTTTTCAAGAATTGGAAACTTTATCCTAAGAGGAGTGGGAAGCCCCTGGTTAGTTTTTAACACTACCTCTGGCTAAGCATCAGAAAGCCTACAGTCCAGTGACCATAGATCCATAGTCATCTTATTTTCAAAACAAAATTTTATTTTCCCTTCAAAAAGCAAAAGTCACTAGTAGATGTCACACATCTGACATACCCCAATTAGTATATTTAATGCTTCCTTTAGATAAACCATTACTTTAAACTTGTCATATATAATTTGTTAGCTTGAACTAGTTTGCGGTATAATAGTCTGGGCTTTTAAAACTAGTTTTTACTGTAGGATGTATTTTTTTTTTAATGTCTTGGGAGCCTGTATTCTGGCTGACAGCATTATTATGCTACTATCGTGTTTCTTTTTTTTTTTTTTTAATAGTTTATTGTCAAGTTGGTTTCCATATAACACCCAGTGCTCATCCCAACAAGTGCCTTCCTCCATGTCCATCACCCCCCTTCCCCTCTCCCCCTACCCCATCAGCCCTCAGTTTGTTCTCAGCATTCAAGAGTCTCTCATGGTTTGCCTCCCTCCCTCTCCCCCAACTATTTTTCCCCTTCTTCTCTCCCGTAGTCCTCTGTTAAGTTCCTCCTAATCCTCCTATACATGCAAACATATGGTATCTGTCATTCTCTGACTTATTTCACTCAGCATAACACCATCAAGGTCCACCCATGTTGCTACACATGGCCAGATTTCATTCTTTCTCATTGCCATGTAGTATTCCATTGTATAGATAAACCACATCTTCTTGATCCACTTTCCCAGAATACTTCGAAAACAGCATTTGCCTCTCTTCGTTTCCAATCTCTCATGCTCGTACAGTGGATTTCTTTCCAGAGGCTTCTAAACATAGGATGGNGAACATTGGGGTAAATGTGCCCCTATGCATCAGCATTCCTGTATCCCTCGGGTAAATTCCTAGCAGTGCTATTGCTGGGTCATAGGGGAGTTCTATTGTTAATTTTTTGAGGAACCTCCACACTGTTTTCCAGAGGAACTGCACCAGTTTCTTGTTGTCACTGGGTTGCCTACACAAATGCTCAGTTAGGCACCTCCCACTTCTGTCATCAGAGCTCAGTAGTACCTCAGCTTGGATCACCTGAAGAGGACATTTCATGCTAATTCTTGGCAATGCCAGCTTTTTATCTAATTTCCCTCAACTTGCATGTTCCTGAAGTAGCAGGAGGATAGCATCCAAAGGAAGATCAACTTGTGTAGCCACCAGACTCCTGTCCTTTTGTTACATTAACCCAGGGATGGTTTATCACAAGATCCTGACTTTATTGTGGGAGAGAAAACCGAGGATGTTTTTCAGGAGCATTGGTATTCTGTCAAAAGCACCTAGATAGTAGCTATATAACGTTCATTTGAAATGTGTGTCTGACAACTTTATTGATATTTCAAGTTGAATAATCATATTTTGTTTGAGTATTTGATTCTTCAGAGGTCTTGCCATTTAAAAAGTTATACTTTTCCTGATCAGTGATTCACCAAAGGACTTATAGTGATACCAGACTTGGTGTAAACCAGTTTATAAATTTGCTCTTCTAACAGATTTATACTTTGGCACGTATTCCCTTAGGACTTTGCAGTTATATAACAAAACATTTTTTATTGTGGCAGTAACTTATAGACCAACACTATATGTATAAGGCACATAAACAAACACAGTGACTTCTAAAAGCATCTAATTCTAAATATCTGTCCAGTGTAATGAAGAGATTGAATAAACTGGAAAAAAAAAATAGAATAAAATGGGGGAAATGGCTACATTTGTGTTTATCTATCTTTAGAACTATAATTTGAAAAATAACTCCCCAAATGACTACTTATCATCCCAGGCTTTTATTTTAATAATTAGAAATACTAACAAATAATGACATTACTAATTGAAATATCAATTTTGACAAGCCTTTACTTATTTCTGTATTAAAATGATTTCCTGAAAATATCACAGGAAGTTAATGAATTGCTTGTTAATTAAATGTGAACTTTTCTACTCTAGTATTCCAATGGAAAAAAACCCTGAAATATGATATATTCAAATTGCTTTATACTAAATTGAACATTAATGGTTATACAAATATAATATATGGTAATGTTACAAAGGAATGTGATAAGAATCCATAATATTCATAATGGAATTTGCTAATTTTGAATATTGGCTTTATCTTTCTGTTCTCTTTGTTCCTAAAAAATCCAAATGCTGAAATAATGCTTTACCAGCATTTTCTAATTAGCCAAGTGTAACTTTCCATGAAAAATTTAAACATTCTCATCCAACTAACAAATCAATCTCTTTTCTTCTCTTGTTTTGTTAGCCTCTTAGCAAATACCCTGCTGTGATAAATGACATCTCATTCTGGTTACCCTCTGAGAATTATACAGAAAACGATTTCTATGACTTAGTACGAACAATTGGAGGAGACCTGGTGGAAAAAGTTGATCTGATAGACAGATTTGAACATCCAAAGTAAGTAAAAAAAAAAAAAAAAAAAAAAAACCTTCTGATTTTATCCTTTGTTGTTTCTCTGTGAAAAATGGCTGTGGAAACATATAATGAAATTTTCCTGGAACTCAATGCATATGATACAAAATGTCTCCAGAATTTATAGTGAACGTATTGTTTATCAGAAAAAACTTTTATATCATTCCTTTCTGAAGATCTTTCTAAAATACATATTTAGTCTTTCCTGCCTTTGTAAAGAAAAATATGTGAAACAATGTTTTAAAGATCATGGAGTTTTTCAGTATTGCTTTTAGAAGTTATTTCTTACCATATCACGTCCCAGGAACAGAGGAGTTTATGGGGGAAAAGCTGGTTGGTTAGTCTCTTGGTAAATATTTATGAAGTTTTGCCACATGCCAAAAGCTGTATTGGGTCCTAGGATAAAGTTTAGTAACTGTCTCAGGATCCATCTCAGTGTTGGCCTGTTTGCCCTGGTGTGTGGCGGGGAGAAGGGGAGGTTAGTCTTATGCTAATCAGATTTGACTGGGCTTTGGCTTTAGAAAAGTTTTCTTGGATTATATCATTAAGGACTTGCTCTGATACAGTGTTCTATTCTATTTCATTCTTTAGGGATTCTAGTTATACATAAGTAGTCTCTTCTTTGTCTGACTTCTCTACCTGTCAGCTTTTCTCTAATGTTTTAAAGCTCTTATTTCCACTTCATTTTGAATGCTTTTCTCATTGCTACCTTCTCTGTCCCTTACTGTTTTCTGCAGTCTCTTCTTCCTTGCTCACATTCCATTTCTGTTTTTGGTTACTTTGTTTTCCCCACCTTTTCTGAGTTCTGTGAGCTCACATTTCCATTCCATCTGTTTTCTTGCCATCTACTCTCTATTTCTGCTTTGTAATTTTGCTTCACAGAGGAATTGCTTCATTTGGGTTTTAAAATTTATTGCAAGGTGTTTGACCAACAATTTCTTATGATCTAATGGCAACATTTTTTTCTATGATTTGTTTGTTAGTGAGTTTTTCTGCTATCTTCTTTATTTTTCCTCAATTTTTAAATTGATATATCTGTGATGTGCATATGATTACCTTTTTGTTACTTATATTCAGACATCACTGGATTTTCTGAACCAGCTATTTGCACAAAGTTGAGATGTGAGGTTGGGGGCTGACTTGGCATAGAGGGGCTAGGGTGATCATTCAGGCTAGTTGTTTTCACAATCCTACAGCTTTCTTCCTCTCCATTGCTGAGAAATCAACTCTTTCTTTAAATATGGCCCATTCATCTCATTGATTCTTTATGTAGTTCTGCCTCCCATCCCAAATCCTCTCTTCTTACAAACAAAAGATTCACCTTTGTTTACCTCAGTGATAAAGATTTTGAACTTCAGGTCGTAACCCTCAGCTCTGAGAAATGTATCTTTGCTGGTGTTTTCTGAGAAATATCACTGTATGTTTCTTCTCTTTATATCCTCTCATTGTCTTCTACTTGATTTCAGCTGCTTTTGGCAGCCTTTAAATCTACTTTGGAGTTTTCAGATAATATCTGCCCCTTAACTTCACAGAAAATAGAATGTATGGAGCAACCTGGGTTTTTGACACAATGGAATACCCATTCAGCCCGGAACTTTTATGTGAGAGAAATTTCCAGGAATTTGCATGTTGATACTGAAACTCTGGTTACTGACTTTTGAGGAGGAGGAAAAGTATGGGAATAATACTGATTACTAGGTAATAACTGATATACCAAAAGCACATGACTTGTTGATTTTTCCCCATTGTTGTTTGATATGTAGAAAATCCTTTGGAATCAAGGATTCAGAATCCATTCTTAATTTTTTACTTTTCAAGCTTTTTGCTTCTTGCTATTGTCTTAGCTCTGCAATTCTGCCTCTCCTATCAACAGTGTCAAAGTTAGATGAGTTGCCCTTTCTGGTTAAGATCATCAGATCTTAAAGGTTATAGAGCAATGTTATTGTCTGGATGTGGGCGTTTGGTTTGGGGGAGGGAATAAATGCTGGGTTTTCCTGACTTGTAGGTGATTTGCAGCGGTTAGGGTAAATGCAATATGGGCATGTTAATTGGAGCAACTGCAGTGAGAGTGAGGTAGTGTCAGAATCCTGTGGACCAGGGACAGACCAGGCAGGCAGATACTCCATTAAAAAAAAAAAAAAATCACTGGACTGTTGAAGAGTCCTCTGTTGATGCAGATCTATACACCAACCACATACTGTCTGTTGCAAGGAGAATTTGTCCAGTTCCTTCTGAAAGAGACATTCTTTTTATTAGAAATTTGGAAACAATCAGCCAACCAAAATATACTTATTGGCACTGACCTTATCATTTTTTAAATAAATGTTAACCAAATATTTAAGGCCTATTATTCTGGAGCTCTGCAAAATGACTAGCCTGTCCAGAGTGTGCCCCGATCTTAAAAATGTACTTGGTTATTGAAGTAAGCTTACCGTGGCAGATATTGCTAAATATCTCTCAATATCCAATACCCCTTTTAAAAAAATAAGGTAACCTTGATTTTTTTATCTAAGCAGCTTGCCAGCCAACTAACAGTCTATACTTCTGAGCCTCCACTATAACTAAGTGTATCTTTGTGGCCAAGTTTAGCCAGTGATTTATAAGTAGAAGTGTTTAATGGTATTTCCACAAGTTTCCCTGAAAAGTTGGGTTGAGGCTGTCCTTTTTCCTTTCTGCTACTTGGATGTGAATGTAATGGCTGGTACTTTGGCAGCCATTATGGCCCATGGTCTGACCTTCACAATGGAAGTTGTGTCATATACAGCCTGGGTCTCTGATGCTGGAGTGTCAGTTCAGCCCTGAACTCAGCCCCTTTTATGTGAGACAAGTATCTTGTTGAAGCCACTTTTTTTTGTATCTTTGTTACTGGGAACCAAAGGAAAACTTTGCTATTATAGCCCTTAGGAAAAGGACATACATGGAGAAAATGACACATTATTTAGTAATAGCAGCTCGCTGAGTAAAGATTATCAGCAAATATCTAGGGCAAGAGGGTGGCAAGCTTTTTCTGTTAAGGGCCAGATAGTAAATATTTTTGACTTTTGAGGTAATATCTGCTCACCTCTGCTGTTACAAAAGCAGCCACAGACAAAATGAAATCAAACAAACATGACTGTGTTCCAATAAAGCTTTAATTACAAAAATAGGTGGCAGGCTAGGTTTGGCCCATAGTTTGCTGATTTCTGATATAGGGGAGGCAGCCACATACAGTTTTTTTAACTGACCCCCACTCACATATTCTAAAACCCTCCTCTCATAGGTGTTTTTACCTGAAGCACCCTATACCCCTCCCATTCTCCTCCCATTAAGAGTTCCAGACTTGGGTGGTGGCATGTGGAGAGTCACCTAGCCTTGCACTCATCAATGCATATCTTGAACTCAAGACTTACTTTATTTTCTAAACACATAAATTAAATATTGCAAGACAGGGGCGCCTGGGTGGCTTAGTCGGTTAAGCGTCCGACTTTCGTTTGGGTCATGATCTCGTGGTTCGTGGGTTTGAGCCCCGCGTCGGGCTCTCTGCTGACTGCCAGCTCAGAGCCTGGAACCTATTTCAGAGTCTGTGTCTCCCTCTCTCTGACCCTCCCCTGCTCACGCTGTCTCTCTCTCTCCTAGAAATAAATAAAAATATTTTTTAAAAAAATATTGCAAGACATTCCAAAGAGCTCTGCTCCTTCTTCTCCTAACATCAAAAACTGAGAAATGCTAGTGATGAGTAAAAGACTCTTCTATATAAACAAGTAGTTGAACAAATTGTGTGTTATTTTTTCAACAAGTTAAATGTCATTTTATGAACAAGAGCAGATCATAAGGTATTTCAGGGAGACATAAACTACTGAATATGAGCCTAATTTCATAATGTTAGACAAATGGACAGATTTTTTCAGGGTTACAGATAGCAGTTTGCGCCCTGAAGGAGGTAGCTGTTCAGGTTAGAAGAAGATGACATTTTGATCTAGTCCGCCATTCAGAATCTTCTCCCAGAGCATCTTTGCCACTTAATCTGTAGTCCACTTAATGTGCAGAAGAGTTCTTGTAGTTCCAGATTTCATATAACAAAAAATAAAGTAGTGATTACTTTGGAGGAGAGAGCTGCGGTCACCACATGTACTCTAATGCCTTTGCAATATTGTGCTATATGCATGCACTGAATAATGAGAAAACTTGGGAAAATATGTATGTCAACATACAAACCTGGATATCTGTTCCCTGACACCCTTCTGAGTACACTGGTCATGGTTTATGCAACTGAAGGAATTATGGTGAACAGTGTTTATTTTCTCCTGTAACACAATTGCTTAAAATATTTCCTAGCCCGGGGTAGGAGAGAGAGAGCAAAGAAGAGCAGAAGGAAACTTAACCAGTGTCTTCAGCCACTAACACCTCATTTGGGGATGCCAACAATTATTTGTGAACTGCAGAAATGGACTGTAAAGTGGGCTCAAATAGGACAGATTTCAGCTAGGCTCAAGGCAGAGGTTTTGGGGAATTAGGACTGGGGAATTTAAAAGACTTCCTTGATTTGACTGCAAGGAAGAGGTGGGGAAAATGGTGATGGGGAAAATGTCCAGGTGTCTGCAGCAGGTACTACCCAGCAATGTCTGCAAACCAGAGCCTCCCATAGACTTCCACCACGTTCCTGGGGCTGCTGCTTACTCTGCTCACACTACTCACACAGTTGTGGTCACGCTTTCCTGAATCCATGAGCCTGTAGTCAAGGTCTGGCTGGGATTGAGATGCTAGAAGTAAGCATACTGAGCTGTGGGCACCAAAGGTGAGTCCCAGCCCTCTTTAGCTCTACTGATAAAACTAATGGTTCTGTTCTTTATGGCTGACCACTTGCAGTTTGTATAGATTGGCATTGGTAGGTACACTGGAGCATTTGTCAGCACTTTTAACAGAGTGTTGGAGAGACAGTTCACTGGGAGAGGCACCTTCTAAATGTGGCTGGCCCTGTCTCTCAGTGGGTATGATTCATGGACATC